ATATTTTAGAAATTATAAAAACATTGATATGGATCAGTGTATTATATTGAAGATGTTGATCACAAATTAAATCAATTCAGTAAGTGTATCATGGCTTCTTTTTGATTTTTATGCTTCATTAAGACCCATTAACCTGAAAAAACAACATGCGCCGTGGATGACCTACAATCTAAAACCAAAGTCAAAACCAATGATAAAAACGTGAAATAAAGCCTACATAAATTATAAAGAATCTAAAACTGTCATAGCCAGGCAGTTGTATTGTGAACTACGTAATTATGTCAATATGGCTGTGAGAAGGGAAAAGGAAGCGTATTACTTGGCGTATTACAGACATACAGTATCAGCTACATTGAACAACCCTACTGGATTTTGGAAAATCATGAGATCTTGGGGGCTTAATAGCAGAAGTGAAAATGTATGTACTGTAGATGAGTTGAGCCCTGGTGAGGTGAACAAATTATTATTTCAGTGAATGTGCAAGTGATATAAATTCAGATAATGAGCTGCCCGACACATTTAAGGCCCTCTCAGAAACTGCTCACTTGCGTCTATATCTCAACGTGGCTCCTTCAGTATGCGCTTGCGCGTACTTTCCACAGAAGATTTTTAGGTTAGGTTTTCCTGTTTTGTCTTGCTTTTGATCTTGTATTTTTTTACTAAGTTTCGTAATTTTGTTTCTATACTGACCCTGAAGTTTCTATCTCCCCTTTTAGGGTAATTTTTTCAGTTACATATCTGTTGATTCGTGTCATGTGATGGAGGATGGAGGAAACAAGAAAAAAAGCTGTTAATGAGCAAATGTCCACTTTACTTGCTGATACATATCGGGTCCTCAAAAAAAAAACCAATCAAAGATTGCTTTGGTTACGAAAACGTACGTCGCATTATTGTTTCTTTATTGGTCAGGATTATTGACATGATATTTTGACAATAAATTTCATTGACTGACATTGTCAAAATTAAAGAAAAATATTGCTAAGACGTACGTTTAAAAAACCATAGCAATCTTTGATTGGTTTTTTTTTTGAGGACCCAATATATATAAGTGTCAGTTATGAGGCTCTATTATATGTTTCAAAAAGTCTACATACAAGAAAATCAGGGATGAATGCAATTGAACGCCATTCCGTCCACAGCATTGTGCCTGAGACCAAATCTAGCCATAATAAAAAAGCTGAACACCAGAGAAGATATTTCGCGCCATTAAAAAAGGCAAAAATTACAAAGAGTAAAACGATGCATTATTATAATCTCTTGTAATATTAGCACAGATCACCTGTATTATAGGTAGATACTCTCTTTTTTATTTTAGGTGCGATTTGATTTTTCTGTGTCAAAATAAATTTTTTAACCAAATACATACCTACCTTTGTGTTTTACTTATTACAGATATAAATAGTTAAGGGCGAGATTGGGTTTCTTGTGCTAATTTTTTGCTAACTAAAAAATTACCCTAAACAGGGTAAATAGAAATTTCAGGGTCAGTAGAAACAAAATCAGGGAACCTAGGCAGGCAACAACGTACAAAATCAAAACAAAGTAAAATTCAGCCTGTACTAGCTTGGATTAATTACATAAAACTCTACAGTCAGTCAAATCTTACGCTATAGGTCTGGATGGCATTTCGATCCAGATGTTGAAGTTCGCTTTTCTATTTTGTGGCTCAGCCCTTCTGAACATTTATTTATTTATTTATTTATTTATTTATTCAATCCTTAGTCCATCTGATACATTGGTATATTGGATGTGTCGATTACACTAGTATAAACATTAAAGCTATTACTATAAATATTAAATAAATTTGAATAAAATGTCAGATTTATAAAGATATGCACATTAAGTACATTTGTCGTTACGATAAATTGATTTTTTTTAACAAATTACACAGTACTACATAGCATTTCACGCAGAGCAACAAATAACAAAATATTCAAAATCACATGAACCAACATTACAATACACAAAATGATATTTAAAAGTTTACATTAAAAAATTGATTGTGGTTATAAAGAGGATTATCCATAAGCACAGCCTTAATCCTATTCTTAAAACTATTAAAACCTTGGATGTTTCTTACATCTGCAGGAAGATAATTGTATGCTTTTGTAGCCATATAAAGTGGAGATGACTGAAATAATGATGTTTTGTGAATAGGGATTGTTAACTTTTGAGAAAATCTGGTTTTGATTCCCTTGTTAATTTCACTATTGGTTTTAAAATAACTTTGATGTTTTCTAACAAACAACAATACCCTATAAAAGTATAAAGAATACATGGTCATCAGTTCGTATTTTCTAAAGATTGGGACAGCATGTTCATTCCATTTAGCTCTATCCAAGACACGTATCAAGCGCTTCTGGAGTAAAAACAGTCTTTCAATTTTAGATGTTGATCCCCAAATGATGATTCCATAGCTGATGCGACTCATTACATGTGAATGGATGTACAATAAGGTTGTTTTTGCATCTAATTCTTGTTTCAAGTTTTTTACAGCAAAACATGATGTCGCTAGTCTTTTAGCAAGACTTTCTATGTGACTCTCCCAGGTAAGAGATGAGTCAATGTGGACTCCTAGAAATTTGGTACTTTTTTTATTTGGAATATATTTGTCATTGAGTAGTACTACGGATGGTGGATGGTCATTATTTTGCGATCTTACGTTCTTAAAATCAACAACTACAGACTTTTGAGGGTTTAAGAGGAGACCATTACAAGTGCACCAATCTGATATTTTTGAAGATGTTAGATTTAGACTAGCAACCATATCGAAGTGATTTTCGTGATGTTCGGTTGAGCTTGTATCATCAGCGAACTGATGTAGTTTATGGACCTCATCAAACATGTCAGAAAGACTGTTACAGAAAATAAGAAAGAGCAAGGGAGAAAGGATTCCGCCCTGAGGGACGCCATATTTTATGCTCTGGGTAGCTGATCTAAATTGTTGGTTAACAATCTGACCATCCCCCCCTGATATTTGTACAAACTGCTGCCGATCTGTCATGTAAGAAATAATCCACTCCAGAGCGGGTCCTCTGATCCCATAATTCTCCAGTTTCCCAGCAAGCAAAGGTGTGTTAACTAGATCAAAAGCTTTGGAAAGATCGTAGTATATTCCTGCTGTGTGATGTTTTTGATCTAGGTACCTGTATATTGCATTGATTGATTCAAACAAGGCTGTTTCAGTAGACTTCCCCTTTAGAAACCCATGCTGAGAAGAAGAGAATAAGTTATTTTTTGTGAAGTATGATGTCAACCTAGTGTACATGATTTTTTCAAAAACCTTAGAAAACACTGACAGGTTTGAGACTGGCCGGTAATTACTAACTTCACTTTTTTCTCCTTTCTTGTAAATGGGGATAATTTTAGCGATTTTTAATATTTTTGGAAATTGGCCTTTGAGAAATGACATATTAATAATATTTTCCAAAGGAAAGCACAAAATATCAGCAACATTGCGTATTATATGACACGGAATGTTGTCGGAGCCACTTGAACGCTTTTTGGTAACCTGGAGAAGTACTTGATAAACCTCCTTATATGAGGTTGGTTCAAGAAAGAACGAGGTACTTGTCCTGGATAGGCTCTTGTTCTCAATGTTCTTTGCCAACTCATCACCAATGCCATTTACTGAGGTCAAAAAGTAGTTATTATACATATCACAAAGAGTTTGTGGGTTTGTTACAACAGTGTCATTGAGAATAATTGGTTGCACATCAGAGTAGTTACTAGAGTTTTTCCCGTTCTTTTTGTTTATTATTGACCAGGCAGCTCTACTTAGGTTTGATGATTTTTTTATGAAGTTTGAATTGTAGTCTAGTTTGGTTTTTTCTAATAACTCTTTGTATTTCCGCTTTAACTGAACATATTTGTCTTGTACATTCTTGTTTTTAGTTCTTTGAAACAACCAATGCAAATTTTTAACTTTGTATGACATGTTTTTAATTTCTGTTGTAACCCAGCCCCTTGAGTTATTTTTTAGTTTAAATAATCTTTCAGGGAATTCCTTATTATAGGCTGACAAAACAATACCATGAAATTTGTTAAATTTTTCATCAACCTCATTGGCATTATACACCTCGGACCAATCCTCCATACTCAGGTTCTCATAAAAGGATTTTTGATTTTCTGTTGAGAATATTCGTTTTATAGTTTTTTTTTGGTGAGTTTTTTGACTCAACAAGTCCTCTATATCGACAGATATCATTAAGTGGTCTGAAAACCCTGTTTTTAAGAGCAAATTATTATTACATTCATAATTTGTAAATATAAAGTCCAATAGAGTGTCCGAGGATGGTCTGGTTGGTTCGAGGCTAGTTGGCTTCAATCCATAACTCAAAAAAGTATCCAGAAGTAAGTTTTTGTTTTTATTATTTTGACTTTCGCTACAATTAATATTGAAGTCGCCCCCAACAAATACAATCTGATATCTCTCTGTCAAACAGTGTAAAACTAAATTAAGTTGGCCAAAAAATAGCTCGGTATCACTGGTGGCTCTATCAGGGGGGTGGTAAATTGATAGAAAAATGGTTTTTTTATTGTTAACTTGTAACTCGCAAGCTGTATACTCAAACACGTGCTCTGTAGAAGGTATTTTAAGTGATACCCGTTTAGTTTTTACATTTTTTTGTGCAAAAATTGCAACTCCTCCGCCTCTGCTAGAGCCACGGCAAAACGAACCCACCAGGCAATAGTTATCAATGCTATACTGCTGGATTTCCTCCTCCGATAGCCAATGCTCACATATGCCCACTATACTAGGTTTTATTTCATCTAGAAGAGCTTCTAGTTGCAAGTTTTTATTGCGTATGCTTCGAGCGTTCAGTTGGCAGATGCGTATTCTTTGGCCATCACTGGAAAACACTACCTTGGACTGCGAATTATTTTGAGTTTCCGAAAAAACTCAGGACTTATTACATTTTGGTAATAGTCGTGGATAGATTTCAGATTACCCACTGATGCAATACTACATGATTTATCAAAGTCATCACAATTCTGACTGCCACGAGCACAACTAGAGGCCTTTTTACACCTATGATCACTAGCGCCAATCACACTTTTTCTTAAAATGTTGTGCTTTCCTAGTTTTCCTGCTGAACTGTCCCATGCTTCTGCCTCCCCAGAATCAGCTGATGTTTTCCGTATGACAGTATTTTTGATGTCTTTAATTGGGCTAAGATTAGTTTGAGGTTTAGCACTTGCTAGTTTTATATTTCGATGTATTACTATCTTTTGTTTGATAGGAGAGTTTTCGCGTAATTTATTTAGGCGGTTTGTAAACTGCTCGTTTTCGTTTATGTAGCTGAAATCTTGCGCAGCAATATTCTGTACGTTGTCGTGCAAATGCGGGTTTTGTTGACGCTGAATAAGTTGGGTAGTTTTTTTTCTAATGCCGGTGTTTCCTGGCACTTTGTTTATTTTGACCAAGAGGTAATTAATCAATTTTACTAAACCTTGGTACTCCCAGCAGATTTTTGTGGTCATTTTTTGTTGTTGCATCAAGCTTGTGCTGATATATGTTATGGGTGTGTTTCTTAAAGATTCTTCTAGATTGAAGTTTGTTTTTTGTATGAATTTATTCAAAACAGGTCTGTTTGTGGAAAAGGGACACCCAGCTACAAAAACTTTTCCTCGTGAACTTGCCAGTTTCCTAAAATCCTTGTTAAGTGAAGTATTTCTACATACATCCTCATTACCAGTGAAAATTATTAGTAAATCATTTACCCTTATCTTGTTCGCATATGATTCAGCATGGCTAAAGAGGTCATTTATAGTTGCTCTGTGTAAATAACGATAGCTTATGTCATAGCTTTTCCTGGTGCATGCTTTAAATATTCCGACCAATCCCTTCATTTCAGAATTTGTAATCAAAAACGCCTGTGGTTTTTGGGACGTCTTTTGATCACTTTCTAGTGTTTGGTTATTTGGGTCTTCCGCTTGTATTTCACTGGAAGTTTGGGTGCCTTTATCTAGGTGAATTGTTTTTAATGCATTTGAGTACATCACTTCTTCCAAGGCTTCCTCCGTCAGTTCTGTTTGAGTTCCAAGTTCACAGCTGATAGTTTGTGTTCCTGCAGCGTTATTAGTCAGTTTTATTTCAGCTAGGGTTTGTGTGTGTGCCTCCAAAGTTATTATGTTTGTTGTTGTTTTGCTTTCCGTTTCAGTGTCTGTTTGGATTCCAAGTTCACAGGTTGGGTTGCTAATCGTTTGCATTCCAACAGTATAGTTGGCAGGTTTCATTTGAGGTAGAGTTTGTGTTTGTGCCTCCACAGTTTTTTTATTTGAATGACTTTTAAGTTCCTCTATTTGCGATTTCAAGAATAGGATTTGGCTTTTTAAGTTACCTATTGTTGACTCACTGGTTGAGTCAAATTGTATGATTTCCTCTTCCAAAAATTCGTTGTGTTCCCGTAGTCTCTTAATATGCAATTCCCTTTCTAAATTGTCCTTTTCTAGCTTTTGTATCAGAACAAGTTGATCTTTCGGTGATTGATCAGTTTGCATGGCACGCTCTGCACAGGCCTGAGAGCACCATACATGGTTTTGTCTAATTATTGTTAGTGATTTTCTTGCGCCACAACTTTTATGTATTATGTTGTGACACTCTATGCATACATAATTATTTTGAGTTTTGTTTCTACAACAGAGGAAAACATTTGCCATTTTTATTTATATTGCGATCCCAGCAGCTGATTTTGTTTATGTTTTCGATGGCTATTAGCCACCTGGATTTGACAGTTCCTAATCCTAACTTCACTTTTGTTTGTGTGTAAAAAGTGCGGTTATGTGTCGTCGATTTTAATTTTTGAATTTCTGGATTTTCTTGCGAAATAATGAGATTCGTGGCGCTTTTCACTAGGATTTATATCCGTATATTTTTTTTTTACCATAGCCGAAGGAAATTGACTTTTGTTTCGTTTGTTTTTCGCGAATTTTACGACATTTTTGACGACGAAATTTGAACGCGTTCATACGATTTTTTGTTGTTTTGTCAACTCATCTTTAATTAGCGGTGACGTCCCAGGCGCATAGAAAAACTCGAAGATAATGCCCCTTCAGAAAAAAAAAATATCACAGATCCGTCAAACCTTCGCCCCATCAGCATTTTGCCGCCTGCTACAAAGGTAGTTGAAAAACTTGTGTCTCGTGTGATTTAGAAAATCTTACAGTACCAGCACAACATTATTAAAGATAAATGACAACATACTGACCTCTTTGGACAGGAATCAATAGCCATCCTTATGCTTTTGGACATGTCCAAAGCATTTGATAGTATCAATCATGACCTTCTGCTCTCGGAGCTTTCGTGTTATGGTGTTCAAAATATACCTTTGGAATGGTTTAAGAATTGCTTGTTTAACAGACACCAAACTGTCGAACTAAGGAGCAAAACTGGCCCAGCACTGTCCCAGGATTTGGTTGTGCAGAAGGTATTGTCACAGGGGTCAATTTTGGATCCTTTGCTGTTTAAAATGTTCCTCATAGACTTGAAACGCAGCATAAAGTATTGTTACGCAGATGACATACAGCTTATGTATGATATTAAGTTTCAAGACAACGACAAGGCAATTAGTTCAATCAACGAAGATTTGCGAAGTTTAGTATTTGATTTGATTTGATTTGTGAAAGAAATCTTGGTTGGTCAGCTTACCTGGAACGATGAAGCATTAAGATTTAGTGAATATGGGTCTTATCATGGACAAAAAACTGAACTCTGCAAAACAAGCGGCGTCCCTAAGTATAGATCTTTTTTTCTTACATTAAAAAGACTTCATAATTCAATAAACTATCTTCCCCGGAGTGTTAAGACTGTGCGATTTTTTAGTACTCTCCAAATTAGACTACTGTGATACTGTTTATGGTCAGTATTTACGTGCTGAAAATGCAAGAAGGCTACAAAAAAAATCAGAATTCTTGTATTCGTTTCGCAGTACAAATCCCACGAAAAACCCATATTTCTCCATATTTGAAAGATATTCAGTGGCTGAGCATGAATGAAAGAAGATGAGTGCATCTCTGCATTTTCATACACAAGGTGATTTTGGCTAAACAACTTAGATATTTGTATGAAAAGATGGAATTCTGAAACATGGCTCATCCGAGGGAATTTAAACATGCACCAGCTTCTTCAACAATCCCCTTCTATAGTTCTAAACTTTTTAAAAACAGTTTTTCCTACAAAGCAGCAAACATTTACAATAAGTTACCAACAGATATCAAGGCTTTAAGTTTACTAGTTTTTAGAATTCATGTAGTAACCAAAAGTCTTAATGATGATTTTGCTGTACTTTAGGGGCTTAGATGTTCTGTAAAAACTTTGGAACTTCTTTTATCAATACTAAAATAACTTAATCAAATCAATCTTCCAATAGCTTGAATTGGCTGTTAGGTAAATTGACTTTTTCTATTTTGGTCCATTTTGAAATTTTTCTTGATTTTTGAATAATATATTTTCCAGAGTATTTTCTGCACAATATGGAATTCATATGTAGGATTATTATATAAACCAACCTACAGTAATGTAGGTACCATAAAATAGTGAACTTATATGTTGTAAATTATCTTTAAGGTTAAAAAAGAAAAACTATCGATACTTGATAAAGAAAATTGCACAATAACGAAAATGGAAATGCCAGCACCGAATTGGATACCGCCCAAAAAGAAAGTTAAGGAAATCAAGACTGAGAGGTCCACAATGACTAGAACTACTAGAAGTAAAGTTGGAAAAGGAAACGGTAAGGAATAATTATTTATACATATGAATATTGTTTCTAAATTAATATTATTTAGCCTCTGAAAGAGAATCGGACGTAATCATACAGAATCCTGAATTATCAATAATAGATTTGTCAGATAATGAAAATAGCCAAACAGTTCAAACTAGAAGGTAAAATTATTTTTAACTTAATTATTATTATTTTTTTGATGAACAATTTATTTAGCGGGCGAACTAAGAAAAGAGATCAAACTCAGGACAACATGGACGCAGCCACCACCAAAAGCGCAAGATCCAAAACCCGCAACCAGAAGGCCGAAAATGTCAACGAAACCGTGGAAATGGAGACGCGTAGCACCAGGACTAAGACTTTAAGGAAAGCCAAAAAAGACGAGGAAGTTCCTAATGAGGAACCGGAAATAGAACCTAGGAGTACCAGGACGAAAACTGTTAGAAAAAGGAAAGATGCTAGCGAGGATGAAGCTAAAAATAGCGACAGTGATGACAATAAAATGTCTACTAGGAATGCTAAGGGTAAAACTGTCAAGAAGGCAAAAGACACAAGCGAGGATGAAGCAAAAAATAACATTGCTGAAGAAAGTCAAAGGTCTACAAGGAGTGCAAGGACTAAAACTATCAAAAAAACCAATAAGGTAGATGCCAGTGAAGAAGAGAGTGACATTGGTAAGAAAAATATTTTGTTTGCAAATTGTTTTTAAATCCAATAAAAATTATAAGTTTTTGGTATTTTCTAAACACTAAACATTCGAAGGCTCTTCTCAAATGTTAGACAGCCAGAAGCTCTGATAAAGCTTTAGTTTAATATTAAATAAAATAAGATAAGAGTTTGTGTTATATTTTTCTTTATAGAATCCACGCGTAGTACTCGTACAAAAACCATCAGAAAACAGACAGACACTGAACATACAGCCGACATACCAAAACCAGGCAATAAAAGTGCGGTGTCCAAATTAAAACGTTCCAGAAGCGGAGAAGACGATGAGGATGATTCAGAAGAGAAGATAAAGAGTAGAAAGAAAAGTAAGTCGAATTCGCCACCACCAGTCAACATTACCACTCAGAGTGAGTATGAGGATGCTCAAACGTCACCGGATAAAGGAAATGTCTGTGAGAAACCACTAAATTCGACTTATATTGCTCCTAATCCAGGACTGAAGCCAGTGCCTCCGTTGAAACAAATAGAAACTGCTAGACCTCCTACAGCTGCAAATGCTACAATAGTAGTCTCAGAACCCAGCTACAATATTTTCAAAAATAAATCTGATAATAATTTGTTTACTGACGATGAGTCTTTGGAGGTAAAAATAAATTACTGTTTTGTTTCTTGTAATACATTTATTGTTTGCTAGCTCAATAAATCGCCAAAGAAGGAGGCACCGATGTCTGCCAAAGAAGTATTTAGTCCTTATGCAAAAAGTTCAACCAAGAAAAAAGTCGAGGCTTTCGAAAAGCTTCAAAAGGTCAATGAGGTTCCAGTTAAATTATCTGGTATACCTAGAAGTGCACGTGATACACCTATAAAAGACAAGGTAATAATAATTGGTTTCTGTTATTGGAATAATACTATTATGCTCTATGTTTACGACTTTTTCAGATTTGTGCTAAGAAGCTAATTTCTCATTATTAGTTAACTTTTGTATATTGTAATTCCTTTGTCAAATTAGCATGCAAATAGTAAAAATGTTTTTTTTTTTTTTTTCAGCTAAAATTGAACAACACACCCTTATCTAAATTCATGCCAACTAGCTGCAGCACATCAAAAGTATCCAGATTATTGAGCAGCCAGCAATTGTCTAGAACAAGTAGCAATGACAGCTTATTATCAAGGGTAAATTATTTCCATGCCCATTAGACGTTTGCTTATGACTTTTTTTTGTAGACTGCGAGTGCTCAAAAAGATCCGAGGGAGAGACAAAGAAAAAATCTGGAAAGGGAGCAAGCATTGAAGAAAAAAGAAGCCATGTTATTGGCACAAGCTGAGGCTAAGAGGAAACAAAACGAAGAGAAGCAATTGAAGGCACTACAGCAAAGAAAGTTAATTGAAGTTGAAAAACAGAAACAACTCGAGGTAAGTTTTGTAGTAACTATTAGGTATTGGAAACAAAAATCAAATAGGATTTTTTTTCTATTCATTATTAACCAATATCAAATCAAATCAAAATAGTATATTATGCAATGATCATGTGATGAAATAATAGCCATTGATACACGAGAATGTTGTGAGATACAAAAAGAGCTGCATGCGAGTTTCGTATATAACATGCGAGTGTATTAATGGCCATTACATGAGAGTTGCATACACTATTTTTTCTACTCCCATTAATAAACGAAATACATATTTATATTAAGAATAGTAAACTTCTCAACTGGTGGTGCCATATATTGACAATTTCGAAAATTATGATCTAGACGTCATTTGGGCATAAATTCCGCACCTGATTTATTAATTTTTTGTTGTTTCTTTTGGTAAATACTAATAGAAACAATCCAAAATTCCAAAACAAGTCTGTTATTTTTATATAAACATTGTTCATGTTCAAAATAACTCGAATGGCTGAAAAATCTGTATCATAATGAGGTTCATTATGAAACAGATTTTAAGCGTATTATGAAACGTCAGTAGAAATAGTACATTATACACAGAGACAAAAAGTTTATAGCCCGACCGAAGGGAGGACTATAATTTGTTGAGGGATTAAAAAACACTTTAGTCCTAAGGTATAAGGTACCTAACCCTGTCCCAAATAAGGCCAGTGCCCTTTATTGCTTAGTATTGAATCCCATTTTCAAAAATTACAATATTATTAAAAAGAAATCTATAAATGGTAAAAATGGTCGCGTTCCTGCTGGAAATACGTTATTAAGTATACTACCCTTTCCTGAGGCCGACTCCGACAAACCTGCGGGCATTTTCTGAGTAAGTTTACGCTACGAAAAAGTACTGAATTCTTGAAAGAACTTTTTTCTAACTGTAACGTATTTTTGGCACTTAATTAGGATTATACAAAATAGTTAATAATAAATTATCAGGACGACTGACAGCTAAAAATAACGAAATGAATCGACACGCATTATTTGAAAATGTTTATATAAATCATGCAACGTCGCGCGCCGTTGCCAACCAAAAACATCTGAAATTGCCCTACTTTAAATGCGTTGAAAAGTACTTTTAGTTTTGTTCGGTTGGCAGCAGAAATTTACTAAATGTGACGTCATCCTAAATATAACGTAAAAAGCCTATATAAGTTCGTGATTTTTGTTGGGTTTGGTGGATAATGTTAGGAAAAAATAAAACTCCTTAACGTGGCCTTATTTGGGACAGGTACCTTATACACTATTTTATGCACTTTACTTTATTTCCCGGGGATTAAATAAAACAGGGAATGTCAGGGAATAAAAGGGTACTTTCAATCCCCGGGAAATAAAGTAAAAATTTAATCCCCGGGAAATAAAATAAAAAAGTAATCCCTGGGAAATAAAGTGAAATTTAATCCCTGGGTTTAAAAGATCCACTTTACTACCTTGAAACAGGGATTAAAAGGGCACTTTTAATCCCTAAAGTGCATAAAATAGCTTTATTGCCATGAAAGAATAATTACCCAATAATGTAAAGTTTTTGGATGGTTGGAGATACTATTGAGTCACCTTTCCCCTCTTGTGTGGATTGTTTTGACTGGGGATCTTAACATTGATTACAATGCTCCCAATACTCAAAATTCAATCAATAACTTTTTAATGAATCAATCTAATTACGCATTTTGTGAAACCAACCACGATATCTGATACTAGCGCTTCGACTTTGGATTATGTGTGTTGTAAGGTTTTGAATGCTCTGCTTTCTGATCACGAGGAGGTTTTGTCTGTTTTCAATTCATCAACAGAATCATCCCCGTTGTTCTCTTGGCGGAGTCGTATATTCTGCGAACGTAACTCGATTAAGTTTTGAAATCTCTGTGAGGAGACTGTTTGGCTAACTCCTAATAATAATAATAATAATAATAATAATATATGTACATTTATTTAACACTTGGCTAATTTAAAATACAATTTACAATAATAATAAACGTTTAACTGCGTAAATAAATACATAGTTGTTTGACAAAAGCGCTTAAACTAGGGAAGTCTTCTACATGGGTCTGTAGACTATTGAAATATTGTAGTCCATCATAAAATAGCGTCGTTTGTAATTTTGTTGTTCTAGCTGTACTAATATTGTGATGATCTTTTGTGCGAGTGTTGTAGTTATGAAACTGAGATCGTTTTCCAAGTACGAACTTAAATAATCTGGCAACAAGTTGTTTTCAATTTTATATTTTAATATAAGGTTTGCCTTTTTAACCAACCCTGTATCTCTCACCGTTTCCGAGATCCCAATGATGTGGCTCGAATTTGAAGTACCCTGTACTTGTGAGTGAAAACGTGATCTGTCTCACAGAGTAAGAAAATTTCATAGAAACGTAATTCTTCTCAGGAAAAAATCTATATTTTTACTGGCATATTTGAGTAAAGTAAACACAATGCTACAATCTACAATATGGTTGAATATTTCAATTATAAACTTCAGATCCTTTAAATTTAAACCCAAATCTGGGTTTGAATTTCAAGTAAATCAAAAAAAAACTTAAAAGCCTTTACTCTCTGAATTAATTACCTAGTAGGAGAGTTTCTAATCACCGAGAATATAGAATTTTTCTTGTTGTGTCGTGCCTCTCTTGAGGTGTAAGAAATGCAAGCAGCCCTGTATCTTTAAACCCAGACACTGTGACTCCTGCTAAGTTGTATGGTGCAGAAAATGTTCTGACCTTAGTACTACTGAAGCCCATTCAGTGGCTCTGACGCAAAAAAGAATTTTACTGTTTTACTGCTTAAATTGCCAACATAATCTAGGAGATCTGCCTAAACTGGGAGAACTGAATGAACACTACAACGAACTGAAGTTAGAAAGTATAAACAAAGATCGACATTATGAAGATTTGGAACGGAAATATGAGGAAACATATGGATCAACTGTCGACAAATGTAGAGAAGGACAATCAAATAAAAATACTGAATGGTAGACTGACATCGGAAAGCAACGACTTAAGTAATGAACTTTTGAGAATTCAAAATGAACTAAAAGTCAAAGACTTTATTGTTGAAGATTTAACAAATAAAAAATCTAATCGCAACCAAGTAAGTTTCACGGAATAATCACCTGGAATAAGTATTGAGAAGGCGCTATCGAAGAGGAACTGGAAACCTGTTAAAATGAACTCACAAATGCCAGAAATGAATTGAACGACCTCACCATCTGAAAGAATAACCTCCTTACTTCAATAGAGACCCATATAGTGCAGAATAGTCTCCATTTGAATGAAATTGCGAACCGAATGAATTGTGTGTTAGCATTGGTGGATACAATCCAGATCAATTACCAACTCCAAGCCTGAACAAACCAAAACTTAGTGACTCCAAAATCACCAAGCATCAGATTCTACAGTTTGGTAATAAGACTTGTGTAACTGGATCTGGGATAATGGCTAAATCATTTACACACAACAAATATGATATGAATTTCCAGTACTCTGATTCAAACGTACCATTGCAAACACTCGTCGAACAGTTTAGTACATTATGTAAAAACTTCACAAAAAATGATTTTGTCTGCAGGGGCAAGTCATCATCGATGACTTATGTTGGGATAAAATCGCTGATATACCCAAAAGAAATAACTTAATAATAGTCACTCCTCCATTCTGTGACAACAGGAAAGTTCTCAACAACTTTATTTATGAATTTAATTTGGGTATCAAGAAGCAACTGCAGCAGAGAAGTATTAATTGTTCTCACCTATCCTGTGACAGTTTCATGTCTACCTATGAGCGTAATTATAACTGCTACCTCCACTACGAAATCAAAAGAAGGATAATCAAGTATATCTGCATTCTGCAACGAGTTGCTGGTCCCAAAACAGATTCCGAAAAATTTTCCTCCAGGCAATCACTTGCTTATCCTACGTTAGGCGACTCAGAATCAGATACTACCGCCGCGTCCTCTGAAACAAATCGTCCTAACGGCGAAATCTCACATAATGGACTGATTACAGTCTAGTATCAGAATATCCGTGGACTGAGATCCAGGACGGTACCATTTCAGCAAAAAGTAATAAATTGTAAGAATCAGATACTACCGTCGCGTCCCCTGAAACAAATCATCCCAACGGCGAAATCTCACATAATGGGGCATTATGAGAGGACTGAATGGGCTGCCGATTATCGAAAACTGTCACCAAATATTTGGCCCCGTTTAGAAATTACAGTGAATGCAAGAAAGGGGTAGTTTTCGATGTAATTTACAACTTCCTCGCACATTAGGCAAGTCCGTGTTCGCTTAATTTTCAAGCAAAAAAATCGAACAAAAAAAACATTAGAAAGGGCATTTCATCAGCAATAATGTGGTGTTTGAAAAATTGAAATCAGATTATGCATTCGGTTGCTGCTGCATCAAATGCGCGCAAACAGGCGAATGATTCAGTGACCTTGAACAAAAACTTGCTTTTTTTTTATACTTTTCAAGACGCTGCAGAAAAAAAACTATAGAAGATGAAGGGGTGCTGTCGCCGAGTTTTTTATAGCAAAAAAGTTCAGCTACAACAATAATTTGAAACTTTTTGTTATTGGACCATTCCTTTGAGCAGCGTTCTCGATAAACCGCAAATTACCCCTAAAAACCACCCCTAACTAAAAGCCTTTGGAAGTACAAGGTCGCAAACTTAATATGTTATTTAGCATATTAAAATGAGCCGATCCCCCCCCAAAAAATATTAACTTCTAATTATGCTGAGGTAAACCATCTTTTCAGATCCTGGTTTCTTGGACTATATTGTTCCTAACTCTAATAATGCAGAGCTGAACCTAGTTTTCTCAAATTACTCACATGTATTTGCATTAAATAACATGTCACCTTTACCTGGTATTGACACCCATCATCCTGCTTTAGTAATTAGGGAATCCAAACCACATGACTTTTGCCAACCAACCGGCATTTTGAAATTTTTATGAGGTAAGAATACGGGTTTTAAATGTCAACGATGTCAGAAAAGTGTTAGATTTAAGAACTCGCCCCGTGTATTGATAAGTCCCGCCAAATAAAAAACATATGTTTTTTGTTTATTGTTTGCCAACCAGGCGCCATTTGGACAGGTCGGTAGTAGACTGTGAGATAGGGGCTGTTTAGTGGAGTCATTTTTTTTTGTCTGGCATTCTGAGGGCTGAATGTGGCTACTAAGCTGATGAGAATATGAGTGATTTTAATGCCGGCCGCCCGTTCGAAAATTTGCAGAAGAAAAAAATTGATTTACATGAAGAATTTTTTTTTAATGATCTCAAATTTTCTAGCTTTTAAATAAAAGATTGACATTGATAAATAATTCACCCATGAAAAATATCAGATGCTTTTCAATAGCTGAAAAAATGGGGATGGGTGTCGACTTTCAAGAGAAAACAAAAGAACCTTCCGCGTTTACTTTTTGTCTGGCAATCGAGAGAATGAAAGGTTTTGTTGTGAAAATAACGCTGAAAAATCGCCAGCCGGTAATCACAGTTCGAAATCGAGTTTTCCGGCGAAACATTCTGTGGACAATTCGAACAGGAGGCAGGCAGCAACCACTTATATTCTCATCAACTAACTAGTCAGATTCATCCCTGAAAACGCCAGACAAAAAGAAATGACTCCACTAAACAGGCCCTATCTCAGGGTCTATAGATTGCCTAATTATTTCTGCATGGAAACTGTGGAAGACAGCGCATCGGATTTGCAACTTTTATAAAGCAAATTACGATCAGTTAAACGATTACTTTGAAACTGTCGATTGGAGTTTTTTGCAATGCTACGACATTGATGAAGCCCTTGAAATGTTTTATACTGTATTATACATCGCAATTGACCTTTATGTTCCAAAGACAAAAATATCAACTCTGAAATACCCTAATTATTTTTCTAAAAAAACGATAGCTCTAATTAACAAGAAAAACAAAGCTTTTAAAAAACATAGGTATAAACGAACGAAATTACCATTTCATGAGGTTCAGTACAAAACACTCAGATCGCAGTCAAAAACCTCGATAAAGAGGGACTACGTTCCTTCGTCCAAATTTTTCAAAATAATATAAAAGCGTTTTGGTCGCACATAAAATCCTAACGTAATTCAGTCAGTTATCCTGCGAAAATGACTTTTAATAAAGTTGATTCTAGTGATCGCAGATTTTTTTGCAGATTTCTTTCAGTCTGTATTCACTGTTTGTTATCCCGCAATCACCATTAACCCATTGCGTTTTTCTAGCAATAACATTGTCCTTTCTAATATCAAGAGTAATTGCGACATTGTGTTCCAAAAACTCATTGGACTAGATGAAAAAAAGGAGCAGGACCAGATGACATACCCCCAGTTTTCGTAAAAAACTGTTGTCCAACCTTGATATTTCCACTTACTAGCCTATTTCAACTATCTCTAAGCTCTGGACAGTTTCCGGACCTCTGGAAGTATGCCTATGTAATTGCTATATTCAAAAGGGGCGAAAGGAGGAATTTGGTTGGTTAACTACCGCCCCATTTCGGGCTTTGATTGTATGGCCGAGGTTCTCGAGTTCATTGTGGTTGACAAGCTTTTGTCAGCTTTATACAGCAGCCTTTCTGAAAATTAGCACGGCTTCTTGTCGGGTCGCTCGTGTCAGACAAATCTATGCGTTTACTCTCACTACTTATCTGCGGCTATTGATTCAGGGAACAAGGGTCGACTCAGTTTATTTTGATTTTGAGAAAGCTTTTGACAGAATGGAGTATGTTATCCTCATGAGCAAACTCGAACATGGGTAGCAAGTTATCTTCGTAATCGAACACAAATCGTCAGGTTCGATGGTTCCATATCAAAGAAAATAATTATAACATCTAGAGTACCCCAGGGTTCACATTTGGGTCCTATTCTGTTCCTCGTCCTTGTATTCATTAACGACCTAGTCAACGTATTTACTAACTGCCAATTCCTCATTTATACTGATGATCTTAAAATTTTTAGAACAATCTCTAGTATTCTTGATTGTTCACTTTTACAGCCTGAGGTCAATAAAATATCAAAATGGTGTATATCAAATGGAACAGAATTGAACATCTCCAAATGCAAGATTATATCTTTTTCTTATAAAAAGCTCCCAATTCTGCACTCATACCTTATTTCATGTTCTCCGCTGCCCAGAATAGACCTAATATACGACCTAGGAGTAATTTTCGATTCCCAATTAAGATTTAACAAAAACTTGAATCATATCCTCGCCAAAGCTTTCAGAATGGCAGGTTTTATTATGTGCAGGTGTTGGGAATTTTCCAATGTTGAGGTATTAAAGTATCTCTACTTTTCTTTAGTGCAAAGTCACCTTGAATATTGTTGTGTGATCTGGTCGCCATATCACCAAATCCATATTAAACGAGTCAAACGAGTTCAGATGAGGTTTGTTAATTTTTTATTATATAAGCTCAGAATCAATAAAAGACAGTTTTCACATTAATATCGTTTGCAACTGCTAAATATCCAAAGTCTGGAGATACCTAGGGGTAGGGTTTCCCTTACACTTATGTTTGCGTTAAAAATAATTACTAATAACTTAAATTGCTCTGAATTTTCGGATACCATCTATCAATACACGCCTGAATAACATATTTGTAACTAATAGAAGCCGGACCAACATAGGCAAAAATAGTGCTATGAACTATGAACCGTATTATGCGTCTCTTCAACACATATATCCCCATGAATTTTTATTTAAACTGCACTCCAACTGCCTTCAAAAATAAGTTGAGGTCAATACTGGCTTGTCCTCAAATTGCTCCATAAAAGCTCATATAAAAGGCGGGAGCAGAATAATAAACCCTGGATGGCGAGGGCAATTAATTCTGGTTCTGATTTGGATTTTCTCGGTACTAAATATTAATTTTTCTCAATCACTTCTTAACTCTTGAAAAGTTGCAGCTCCAATGTATGGGTATAGTCAGCCAAACTGTCGTTATTGGACACGACTTTACCCTTAGCATAGTTTACTTTATTTTTTTTTATATAGACTTAGGGCCCAATTACAGTATATTTGCATCTGCAAATTTGCAGTTCTGCAAATATGGCCGACTTGCATATGTCATTTATTTGCAGGAACGAACGAATTACAGAAAAAATATGCAATTCCGTCATACGACGCTACTGATTTACCAGTTTTAAATGTCAAAATTGTTGAAGCGATTGCAAGGATTTACGGGATCATTTCACCAAGCGCAAATTTGCAGGCGACTTGCAAATGCATTCTGCTTTTGTAATATGAAAAGTCAGACTTGCAGGTTCTGCATTTGTATCTTGGTGTTGCAGAGCTTCTGTAATTCCGGGCTTAGTACATAAGTTATACCATTATTTTATGGGTGTATCCCTTTTTGCAGCTAATATTATTCGCATACTCCCATTTCGAAGTTTTTGTAATCTATTTAGTTCATTCTTATTGGCAAGATAGGGAATAGATAGATGAACTAAAAATAAAGTACATTTTGATATGATTTGATTGAAATTGGTTTTGCATTGTTTACTTTTACAGTTACAAAAACAAAAGGAAGATAGACATAAACAGCGTGAACTAGAACGAGAAGAATATAACCAGAAGAATAAATTGGAGCTAGAAAAGAAACGTGCGGCGCAAAAGAAAAAAATTCAGGAGCTACAGGAGCAACGTAAGGCGGAACAAGAAGCAAAGGAATTACAGGATCAACATCATCGCAAGCGAGAACCACCTGTTTATATGATAAATCCAGCGCCGCCTTTGCCTAGTTATGCATGCTATGATTCTGATGATGCTGATCATCCATATCCAGCTAATGTCATTGTTCCTCCTTGGAGTAAATGTAAGTGCTTTTTTTTTTTGAGACTGATATCAAACACGTTATAATAAATAAGGCATGTCTCAAAGTTATTTCAAATTAACTAACATTTTCAATTCTGTTCATCTTGCAAATAAAACCTATTGTTTGACTTTACACTAGGAACTGGGCAATTACTCAAAAGATTTTGTATATTCCAAAAACTTACAGGCATATTTTGGACATGTTGGTTGGAAGAGTATACTTACTTAGTCACAAAGAGATGAAAATATACTAATTATTTTATACCAATATCTTTATGAGAAGATGACTGGGTAGTTGTTGATTTCACATGACATATGTCCTGCTTTGATAGCTTAAATTAACTATAGCTCCTTACCAAAAAAATACTCTCATTTTTTCCAAACATAAATATGTATTGAGTGAAAAAAACTTGGAAAAGCATGCAGCAACTGACTAGCAAGCAGTAAAATTTTTTACACAATATGATTGAGACATTCTCATTACTACGACGATCATCCAATAAAATCGAGTACCTTATTTTTTTTCAGCCCGGGCATTAAATATGTCTGGATTAAACACGTTGGCGGCAGGAGAAAAAATCAAAAACACCCTCTTCTGTATACACGCCCAAACTCCAGATCTTGCTGAAGTATTTCAAAATATAGATAGACGAAAACTACAAAGGTAAGTTAAATTTCCACTTGAATAAAATACACCCCTAAAATGCGATTTTGTGATTTCCAGGAATTCGAGTAGATTGTGGAAGAGAGCTCCAAGATACACCATGATGCCTGATTTAAACGAGACCAAATTTAGTGAAGATGAATTGGACAATGATGATGATGAAGGATTCAATGATTATTAAATTAATATTTGAAAACTAAAGGAAGTATTTTTCAAAGAAGCTACAAGGTTTTTACTTTATGAATAAAATATTTTTCAATTTATTTATTATTTTTTAAGTTTATGATGAAAGTAAAGGGTTTTCCATTAAGTGGTGACATTTTAAATTTGGAGCCATTTTTTTATTTAAACTTTTGTTATTTTTTGTCAGTTTTGAAGTGAAAAATATCTGAATAAGGGCGGATTTATTCATCTATCAGATAGCCATCACAGCTAAGTTCACAAATTTCTGTTTGTTGCTGTATCTCAATATGCAAAATGGTTTTGTGAAATGTGTATCTCCTACTAACTTGGTCAGTTTCTACACTACTACACCACAAACTCTACAAACAGTCTCTGAGAAATGTTCAATTCTGTAGTGGATTTTCACTTTTTGTTAGAGCGTATATCGGCATATCGTCTCAATTTCTTAAATAGGATAGTTTAAATTTCAAATCTGTCAAAAAATATCATGCTGACAAAAGAAAATGACATGAAATTGAAAATGCAACTCTCAATAGAAAACCCTACATATTTGGCTTATGTATATATATGCAATGCATTAAAAACTTTGTGTTTGAATATGCCTGAATGAGACTTGAAAGCTAAAGAATGATGCGTAGAAAAAATATAATTATTATTTATTTTCATATTTGTTAGAATATTATTTAGTTTATCGTTAAGTTCATTGTTGTAGCATAATGTCTACAAAAGAAAATTGGTTTGTATTGTTTTGTATTTTTCAAATATTTTTTCTTATTACCTTTGTAAATATTGTGCTTAGTTTTAGTGCCTTCTGCAATCTCGAATTGAACATGTAATTTTTAAATATAAGTTTTGAATGTCAAAATGTGAACAAACCCATTGTGCAAAACATTAGTTAATTGATTTTTATATGTAATATGCATTGAATAAAGGTTAATATTCACATACAAAGTTGTTTCTTCAGCCTTTGATACCTGTTTGAATTTGCAAAAAAAAAACATGAGTCAGTGGTACAAAAGTGTGTCTTCGATTTTTTGAATCTAATCGACAAATACTTTATTGTTAATGAATAAATACCTTTGTGAAACCCTACAGAAATTGGCACTGTGAAAAATTAAAAGAGCGGAGCAGAAAAGGTTTATTAGCATTTTGTCAAATTTTCAGTCCAATTTTGAGTATATTATTGTTCACTTATGACTGGTCGATTAGTATTTTGGATGTTTTATCAAAAATTGTGATTGAAAAATAAAAGGAACTGTCTAGAGTCCCGAACGCGGGATCGCTGGAATGGAAAAAAGCAAAATCCCGAACAGGCGTGACTTAGTAACGGCAGTTGGGTAATCTAATCTAGGTTTATAGGAAAAAAATAATACATAAACAATTATTACAACTTCGGGAATTAACTTTTGTTACCATGGTCCTGAAGTCGGGATTAGAATTATTTTTGAAATGTCCCGAACGCAGCTATTATAGTCCCCAGTACATCGACCTTAAAATTTTGTAACTCATGTACACGCCCAACTTCCTGAGCGGCTTCATAACACCAAGTCGGACAATATTTTTCATGTCTCCACCCTGGGCGATGGGACATTGCTGCGCTAGCTCTTCGTGAAGTTGTCGTTCTGACGTCCCTAAGGAAGTTGATACATGTACGCGTGGTTTCAATGCCAATCGACTGTTTTTTACATTACATTTTTTGGAGTTTCAGGTTTCTTATAATTTAAGAAATCTATTAAGCACGAAAACTTTACTGCAGAAGCTTTTAATAATGAAGTAAAAGCAAAATTACAGGAGCAAGCTACACTTCTACAAGGACTATATTTAACACTTGTCAAAAACTATAACAAAATGTCAAGCTCATAAAACAATATTGCCAAACTGAAAATATTATACAATTCATGCTGAAATAAGAGAAATACACAAAATTAAATATTTCCAATAACATTAACGATATCACATTTGTCGGACAAAAACCATGTGGCTTTGGGGAAGGTCCGACACCCTCAACATGTCGCTGTGGCGTCCCTGAGGAAGTTGATACATGTACGTGTAGATTTAATGCCAATCGACTGTTTTTTGTATTACATTACCGATATCATATATGTCGGACACAAATCATGTGGCTTCGGGGGGCTCCGACGCTCTCAACATGTCGCTGTGGCGTCCCTAAGGAAGTTGATACATGTACGTATGTTTTTAATACCAATCGACAGTTTTTTACATGACATTAACGATATCACATTTGTCGGACAAGAAATTTGAGACAATCAATGAAAAAATTAAAATAAGTTTGCCTTAATGCAACATGCATATTAGTCAGTTTGTTATTTACCTACTTTGTCAAATACCTGTGGGGCCCTGTGTCATATTCCCTGATCTGTTTTTTTGATAGTTCTCCGAGTATTTACGGAAATTATTTAGTAAACGCGGTCATTCAAAACCACGCGTGTGAGAAAGAATGGATATTCAGTCGTGTTTTTTGTGCAATCTCAGGAGTGAAGATCCTGAATTTCGGCAGAAATTGATCAATAGGACTTTTGTTGTCCGACTGACTTTAATACTCATTTTATTTGTCCGACATTTACTACACATGTTTTAAAATTACATTGTTATTCATAATTATTTTTGTCGGACATACATGTATCAACTTCCTTAGGGACGCCACAGCGACATGTTGGGGGCGTCGGACCCCCCCAGAGCCACATGATTTTTGTCCGACCTATGTGATATCAATAATGTAACATAGAAAACAGTCGATTGGCATCAAAACCACACGTACATGTATCAACTTCCTCAGGGACGCCACAGCGACATGTTGAGAGCGTCGGACCTTCCCCAAAGCCACATGGTTTTGGTCCGACAAATGTTATATCGTTAATGTAATATAAAAAACAGTCGATTGGCATTGAAACTACACGTACATGTATCAACTTCCTTAGGGACGTCAGAACGACAACTTCACGAAGAGCTAGCGCGGCAATGTCCCATCGCCCAGGGTGGAGATATGAAAAATATTGTCCGACTTGGTGTTATAAAGCCGCTTAGGAAGTTTGGCGTGTACATGAGTTACAAAATTTTAGGGTCGATGTACTGGGGACTATTAAGCCGGGATTTTCCGCTTTTCCAGTGATCCCGCGTTCGGGACTCTAGACAGTTCCAAAATAAAATTACAGGAAGTTGAGGGTCTGTTTGTAAGCAGATGTCTAATCACAGATTAGCTATTTTTTTTCCAGAACCGAGTGACCAGAATGTCTAATTATACATTAGCCTTATTTTGTTCCAAATTCAAAAATTATTCTTTTTTAATAAATACATTATTAATTATTTTCTATTTACCAAGCTAGCCAAGCATTTTTAAAGTCATCGACATTATGAACAGTGGGTCAGTAAAACATATGTCAGCACTTTAATTAATTTATTAGTTAATTACCTTTGTAAATATTGCATTTATATATGTATAAATAGTGTTACCGTTCCCTAAATAAAATAGTATTGATCCAACAGTGGTTCTTGCTCCCCAGTTACCAAACTTCCCAGGTGTACTAACCCAGCCTACAAACCTAAACAACAAACTACCAAGTGTTCTGAGCATCCTCCTGAATTCCAATACAGGAATTTACAGCAGATCTAGATTCTCAGGACTTTTAGATAACTGAGCCTTTTCTGCATCAAGACTTCAAGATCCTGCATTATGAGTTTCTGGTTTTTTTCTACAAACTCATAAGCAGCTTGAGATCCTACAAATTTTGTGAATTTCCTGGTTCTTTTGAGAGAAAAAACAGTAAAGTTTGACTCAAACCTTTTCTGATTCTGAACAACTTTCAGATGTACGTGGTTGTTGCGATAATTAAAAGACATTTTGTTTAAATAGAAAAAAGTGTAATCCACTTGAAAACAATAAAAAAACAATTAGAAGTTGATCAAATACCTTCCTGAGGCTCGGAAGAAATTTGTTCCCGATGCTCATAAGCCCAAAAACCTTGGAACTCAATCAGAATACTGACAAAAGTTTCCCCTTGCCCACAAGCCAGTAAATCACTCAATGTAATTTTTTCCGGATCTTTGGGCCTGACCATATCAAAAAGTTCATCTTTAACGTCTTCGAACGACACAGTTTGTCCAGAACCGTGAGCTTTCATTTGGTCTTGTATGGCCCTAAATCATCAACATAAGCCATAGTATAATAATTGAAAAATACTCACCTAAAAAAATAGTTTAAGGTAAATGCATCTAAATATCCGCACTCTTGAATATCTAATATTCTGAATAGAAAGGCCAATGCTTGGGGTTCTCCTCGATTTTCTAGTGCCAGCACCAAATCTAAATAAGTCTTATAATCCATTTCTCCACTGTAAGTGAGGCACGTCTGAAATACTCTGTCCAAAAATGGTTTAGTTAGGGTACCAGAGCCGTAACTTGCTAATTCTGATTTGCTTAGCATACCATTGTGGTCACGATCCAAGTTTAAATAATGCCCTTAAAAAAATAAAACTTGCAAATCAATTATTATTATTTTATGTCAAAGTATTTTACCATAAATTCTTAAAGCTGAAGGAGCACTAAACCAATTCTGCTCTTGTACTTCCTTACTAACATCCTCGTCTCTAAGTTCTAGTAAATCGTCTAAAAAGGTACAAGCCAGGATATCCAAAATTCGTACCTAATAAAAAAAATTAAATTTTATTAAATTAATTAAACATTTCTAGGACTTACTCTATTGGCTCTGACAACATCCAAAAAAAATAGAAATTTCCTAACAGCAGTACAAACATAAAAGCTGTGGAATGATTTTTCTAAACCGTCCAACTGACATAAAGTAGGCAATAGCTCGGTAATATAGTTTTCTAATTCTGTTTCAGTAAGATAACCTGAAACAAATATTTCTAATTTCATACAATTTTAATGAACACCCTGTACCCTGTCCAGTAGTATCATAAACTGACAATCCTACTCTTGTTTGATCAGTCCACACTTTCCTCATTACATAATTGAATAAAGAAATTATTGAAACTCTTCCTTGAGGATCACCCTGTTGCAATTTGGCAAATACGCTGGGTTTAAAGTAAGGTTTCACTTTGGGGCCAGCTAATTGGGACACTTTCTATAAAAATACATTTAGGTTTATATTATAATGAAATTTCAAAGAATATTATTATTTACCTGAAAATCTGCATACGTTATTAGCTGTTCATCAGGTGAAGATTGATGGTTATCCAACAGCACCCATAAATTGTTTAACTCGTTTCTATCTAATATCGTTAAGTTTTTGCGTTTATGTAAATTTGCTCTACTGTCTTCTCGTAATTTGAGTCTTAATGGTTCACTGTCGTTTGGTATTCTATTAAAAAATCTGGGCAGCCCTTGTTTTTGTGTGCTGGTATCTTTGCCCCATTTTTTCAAAAGGGCTTGAAAGTGCTCGTCTTCCAGTTTAAGGGAGATTTCTGGGGTAATTTTATTCTCGTCTACAACAAAATTCTAATGTTATAAGGAAAATAATAGAGTAAACAACCAGTATTTTTTAAAAATATTCAATTTCACTGTCTTACCCAAAGACTTATTATCTAGTAAGGGTATAGGATACATCACCACAAATTGGGCAAGGCGGACTCTAAAGGTACCTGAGGCAGCGCTTAGTATGGAAGATTAATAGTTACAACAAGAACAAAACACCCCTGAATTATCAGCTCAACCTGTTATGCATATATTTCGGTGCAAAGCAGAAAAAAAATGGCAATCAAAGGATACCTTCTTGGTTATGATTGGCAAGAAAGATATAAAATTTGGGTTAAAGAATAATCAAGATTAGCTTTGTCTTAGGGATGTCAGATTTTTAGAAAAGTTGACCGACTGTGAAGAGTGTTCATATGCTGGGAATCAAATTGAAATAAAACTAAATAATTGGTGAAAGCAAAGATAGAAACCGTTGACTGACCTAGATCAATGATGGATAGAGAAGAAATACTACCAAGAAAAATGTACTCAAGCCTTTAATGATTGCAGCTTGATGATGGAAACAAAGTACACATTTTACAGGCTCAATTCAGAGGGCAAATTTTTATCTAGGTCGTATTAAAATGGGTGTAACACCTAATTTTATTGAACAGCATGTTAAAGAGAAATGCCTAGATATATTAAGTAAATAATAATAAAGTCAATTACAAACAGAAAGAGAAGATTGAAACCACGGATCACTGGTGGCCTTTTGATATTCGTTAGAACTAGAAACAAACTAAAAAAAAAATGTACAACAAATCAGAATAATCAGGCAAGTTTAAATAAGCATAAAACTCACAGAAAAATGCTAATAAACTTATAAAAAATGCCAAGTATGTATATTATAAATCTCTCGCTGAAAGAAACGCCAATGATCCAAAAAAAAAATGTGGTAGGCCATCAAAGAGGCTACCAATGACTAGAGATCTATAACGCCAATAAAATGCATAATGAATGACGCAAACGAAGAGGTATCTGACAAGAGAAATTGCAAGTGAATTTAACTCTTACTTTTGCAACATAGGAAAAACCTTGGCGAATTGCAGAGGGCATTCAGGAGGGGTATGTGCGTGGAAGGAGAAGTGTAGAGTCTTTGTGAGTCTTTCTATTTGGGCCAGGTGACAGAGCATGATGTTCTTAGGGAGACGGGAAGTTTGACAAATGGGGTAAAGGGAGGAGAAGATGGTATTTCTGCAGATATCAAATAAATAAGCTTTATTGTCAAACAACAATTATAGACCAATATACAAAGGTTCAAGGATAAGTTGGTTGTCCCTCTGAGGCACGTTGTAAATATAATTTTCAGTGAAGAGCACCATTATAATGCCAATGTACAAACAAGGGGATAAAAAGTCAACTAACAGTTATAGACCAATAAATAGCACTGACGAGTACTATTAACAAAATTGTAGAAAAGTGTCTTAGAAGTAAACTAATATAATTCTTGGAAAAAAATAAGCTATTAAACATAAACCAATATGCATTTAGAGAAAACTCTAACACTGAGAATGCTCTTGTAAGGGTGACAGAAAAAACATTGAGGGACCTGGACCAAGGGAAAAAAGTGATGGGAATTTTCTTGGTCCTGAGAAAGGCATTCGACACTGTGGCTCACCATATTCTAGTAAGACGCCTGGATGACATTGGAATCAGAGGAATGCCAAATAAACTGATTAAGAGTTTGCTAGTGCGGATTTCGGTCGGAACAGATTGTTTATTTATCACTGCTTAAAACCTAACACGATTTACATGGCAAAAGTGCAAAATAAAACGCGAAATTTATATCAATCCAAAGCGAAAAAAATCGCGCGTAAATCGAATTTAAAATTCTTGAAAAAGTTGTGAAATAACGGTTAAATTGATGAAAAACAACAAAACAATTGAAGTGAACCAAGCATAAAAAAAAAGAACAAAAAAACAGATGAGAGCTAAAGCAATTTTGGCGTACCTTCTTATCTCTTCAACAAAAAACTTAATCTCTGCGAACAATACAGGCTGCTAAAATAAACAAACAATGAGTTTAGTGTATGCAAAGTGCAAAATAAAATGCATAGGAAAAAGCAAGGATAGAGAGCTTCCTAAAACACCATTTGCCGCACCATGCGACACTTGTAAAACGATTTTGTGCGAAATCTGTGAGAAATGGTCTTCAACGGAAATAAGATTTATTGAACTCAAAGAGCGAGTTCTGTCTTATTTTTGCTCAACATGCGTAAAACCGTTGAAAGACTTTCCAAAAGTAAAAAAAGAAGTCGAATCCGACATAAGAACATTAAAGTCAAAGGTAGCTTCTCTAGAAGCTGTCACCCAGGCATTCCACGACTTGCAACAACAAAAAATCCCAGAAAAAGTAAAAGAGCTTCAAGGGTCACTACATGAAACTCAAAAAAATCTGGAACAAATAAAACAGGAATCAACTCAAGTTGCATCCTATGCAGAAATAGCAGCATAAAACAAAAAGTTGAGATTTTAGAGACATCTAAATCCCAAGAAAAACAAAAAGAAAAAACCCAAACCGTAGAACCAACAATTGCTGAGATTCTAGAAAGGGAAAGAAGAGCATGCAACATCTTGATCTTTGGAGAAAAAGAAATTACTGCCGGAGATTATCAAGAAAGGAATAATAAAGAAATAAACTCTGTCAAAAAAACTATAAAAACCATTAAACAGGATGCAGAACTGAATGGTTTGAAAATCTATAGACTGGGAAGTTATGACAAGACCAAGATAAGACCCATTAAAGTCATACTTCAATCAAAGGTAGAAGCTCAGGAAATTCTAAGACAAAGAAACAAACTCGAAGGGACGGGACTCTATATCAAACCTGACCAAACAACAAGTCAAAGAAAACACGTCAAAGAACTTCTAAGTGAACTAAAAAAAAGAAAACAAAATGAACCAGACCTAAAAATGAGGTAGATTAATGGAACCCCAAAACTAATATCACTCAAAACTCCCAAAATCAACCACGAAACATCGGAGTCTACTCAAGAACAAAAAAACTAATAGCTCCCAGAGTCGACATCACATTTCTCTACACAAACGCCTCTTCAATACGCCCAAAACTCCAAGAACCCCATGCACTAGTAGCAAAAGAAAAACCAACATTTCTTCTAGTCACAGAAACGTGGCTCAACCAGAATATTCCAGATACAATCATAAACATAGCAGGTTATAATTTATATAGACAAGACAGAACTGGACAAGATGGCGGCGGCGTCTGTATTTTTGCTGCTACAGAAATAAATGGTCAAAAAATTGTAGTAAGCTTAAATACAACTTACTCAATCCAAAGCACAATAGATGCAATCTTTCTGAATATAAAAATCTCTGACAAAAAGTATTTACTGGCATGCATCTACAGACCAGGCCGAGCAAATATGGAGGAAAATTCACATCTAATATCTACAATCCAAAAAATATTTGAAGAAAACTCTGATGTGCTTGTTTGTGGAGACTTTAACTACCCCGAAATATGCTGGAAAACTCTGAAACTCACAAAGCCATGTCAAAAAGCTAACGAGTTTCTAACAAAATATAAGGAATGGAGATGCCGACAAATAGTCAATTTCAAGACAAGACATAGAAACAATCAAAGCTCTTTACTGGATCTATTTTTAACAAGTGACATAAAAATGATAACACAAATAGAACCCAGGTCACCATTAGGTAAGAGTGATCACATTATGACAGCAGCCACCGCCCAAATAACGCTTAAGGTAAATCAAACCAGAAAAATAAAAAAACGCAACTTTAAAATTGAAAACTATGACGCCATAAAAGAATATATAGAAACAATATCGACAGACATGAATCCAACAATCAAAGAATACCAACTCTTCGAAAACATACTATTACCTCAACAATTGAACATTTCTTTCCAGAAAAAAAACATGCCGAACGAACCATCGAAAACCATGGCTCAATCAGAAAATCTTCAAAGAAATTGACAAAAAGCGAAAACTATGGGACAATTATGTTAAAAATAAAACCGACGAAGGCTACAGCAGATACAGAATACAAAATAACAAACTAAAAAAATTAATCTCTGAAGCAAGGAAAAGCTATGAAGAAAATCTAGAAAAAAATGACAAGCACTTCTATTCTTACATCAAGTGCAACCTAAGCAGCCAAGTTCATGATTTAATCTTACGAGATCCAATAAGTAATGACCTTATAAAAGACTCAAAGACCACCGCAAACACTTTTGCAAACCAATTTCATTCCGTCTACACCAGAGAAAACCTTACAAACTTGCCAACACTGCCCATAGAGACAATGAACAATAATCAACTCACTGTCATTAACATAACAACAGAAAAAGTCACAACAGCTCTAAGTAGCCTAAAAACCTATTCAAGTCCAGGCCCAGATGGGATACCATCTATATTTCTAAAGAAATGTGCTACATCTCTAGCACCCTTAGGGCGGGTATTATAAAACTACTTTGAGAGTCAACTTAAAGTTAACTTCTGGAATTACATGTAATTCAAAAAGTTAACTTCAAGTTAACTATCAAAGCTGTTTTATAATACCCGCCCTTATTAGCTCAAATATACCAAGATTCAATAGACAATGGTACCATACCAGAGATCTGGAAAAAAGCTATAGTGATACCAATCTACAAAAGTGGTGACAAAAACGACCCGTCCAATTATAGACCCATTAGCCTGACCTGCACACTGTCCAAAGTACTTGAAAAAATTCTAGTAAAAGAAACAACATCCTTTCTCTTAGAAAATGACATCATATCTCCTACACAGCATGGCTTTATGCCAAAAAGGTCTACTACAACAAATCTTCTCAGCTGCCTGGACGACTGGTCTACAAACCTAGACGAAGGCAAGCCAATCGACGTCATATATCTCGACTTTCAGAAAGCCTTCGATACAGTACCACACGAGAGACTTTGTTACAAACTGAGCCATTATGGAATAAGAGGCAAGTACCTACAATGGAGCAGCTCCTT